TGAAGGCCTGCTTCTTGAAGCAGAAGCGTAAAGAGGCATTCACAACGCCTTCAGCGTGCTCAAGCGAGTGCACCAAGAAGGAACTGATAAAATGATATTGCCAACTTGCTCGAAGACGATGAACTGAGATGATCCACTCAATGGGGCTTACCACGTGTCGGATTCAAGGGTTCCTGGTATTGAGCATCCAATGACTCTCACGTGATGGAACCGACCAACAGGCGTGTGACGAGGGTAAGAGGCGTAAGCTGCAACGAAGAAAGGGGATCAGCAACGAATCACAATCAGAAGATTTCCGGATTATTGGAGATGCAGCGGACATTCGCGATTTGCTACGAAGGGGAGGGGGAGAAGGGCAGGGTGAGACTCGAGACAGATTTAGAGCATTTGAATGCGTAGAGTATTATAAAAATGGCATGAAGTTAATAAGAGTAAATGTAATGATAAAACTCCAGATCGGTCGAATTAACGATAGATCTCTGGATGACTTTATCGAGGATAAGCCGGAGAGGCGAATGGAGAAAGAGAGACGCTAGGATCACCTGAGACGAGAAACTTAAGTTTTCCCCTCGACAACTGTAGCTGAACATAACAGGATTATGGGCCCAATTCAGCATTCCTTCGCCGGGATGTCACACATTATTCTTCCCTTGTATCCAGCTCTGATAAGACCCCATTAGGATTACAGTGTTTAATCTTGAGGTCTGGCAATAAAAGTGACGTAGCGGCTCTCGAGAAGGTTCAGAGGCAGGCTACGAAAATGATAAAAGCGATACAATAAATTTCAAATGAGAGGCGTTTAGTAGAGTCAGGGCTCGATTTGCTCGCGAGAAGGTTAACGAAGGGGGACCTCATTCAGCCGTTCGTCATCAAAGGAACTCATAACGTAGAGCGTAATAGGTTCTTCTTACTTGATGGTAGCAGCAGAACGAGAGGGAACCAGTTCAAGTTGCGTAAACCCCCAAGGGAAATCCGGTTGGGGACAGTCTTCTTTACTTTTTGAGCAGTGAATGCACGGAATGCATTAGGTGAGGAGATAGTGGCTGCCCCTTCCGTGACTAGCTATAAGACGTGTTTAAATGCCTTCCTCATCATGGACGAAGCCAAAGAAGAGAGCAATGTAAGTTATAACGGAGCAGGTATGCTCCCACAAAAAAAAACATCTATTTTGAGGGATAAGCCTATCTTCATTCTTACGAATGCTCGACCTCGAAATGGAACGTCATAATAAGCAGAAATGCCTCTTGACGCCCCTATCCCAACCCTGAACCTTGTGTAGGTGCGTCCTGATCGCACCTGCTCACCTGCGTCAAATATGTTGGAGAGGCCGAGCATGAAGTACGGATATCCCTACCCAGTCTAGTCCAGTTGCCTTACGCCACTGTGTTGGAGTTGCTTGCTAATGACCTTAAATCTCCAGGAATTGTTAGCTTAGAGCAATGATGACCTATGGCACACGATAGAATGTTGCAAAGTATACCAATACTGCAGAATGGAGAACAACTACAACCTATCCCCCTCTCATTGAACTCCTTTTCATGATGACTCTGCCTACCACCTCCCCCCCCCCCTCAGACCCCTCTCACTCTCCTAACATCGGTGGCCCCCCCCTTCCCTTCCCCTAAAAAGGATTCCTGGGGGTCTGTTCCACAGAAGATTTACAAGTTACAAGTTAACAGCATAGTTTCTTCAGTCACAAGGGTCGTGTCTCTTTACTCAGCCCTTCCAGCAAGTCCCGCTGCAAGGGCTAAGTAATAAGGCACGACCGTGACAAACAGAAACTATATTTTAAACTCGTACCATGTAACTCGTAAATCTTTTGTGGAACAGACCCTTGGGTACGTCTCAGCACTTAGACTAGCACTCGAGACTGGTAAGTCATATCGTTTTTATTTTGTTGCACGTGAAGCTAGAAAGGTTCGTAATCACTGGTCTAAAGTGTACAGGGTCAGGGTGATCCCATATATCAGGACATCAGGTTCTATTAGAAATACTGTGTAGAGGAAAACTCGGCCCTCGAACGGTTCCCGTCCTTTCCTTCGTCATTTATAAATATGTCTCCACTTCCGTATATGTGTGCAACATCCACCGACTTATCCAGCATTAAACTACGAGAAATGATCCGATCGATACAAATTTAAATTGATTTTTATTGAGAGGCACTTGTCCTATGTTCACGGTTTAGGTTTTCTTCCGTGTACCACCAGGATAACGATAGGCACCAATTGCGCTCAAGAATCGCACTAAATTAGAGACTCCATGCTCTTCATTTGCTAAAATATGCGGATCTTATGAGAATCGGGAATCCACTCACAAGTTCATCCCCGGGATTGAGACTTTCTGGCAAATCCAGATGTTCCGGAACGAGATACATGATACCAGGTTCCCTCTTGGACCTGCTGATCAGTTTCCTCGCCGCATCCCTGGCCTGAGTCAAGTACACCTCCATCTCGTAACCTGTCCCGATGCCAGCGAACATCGAAGCCAGCTCGAATCCTGAATTACTCTGAGGAAGATCTGTACGGATGACGCCAACCGTGCATATGGGTATGATGGTGGAAGTGGAAGGGGTGAACGGGAGAAGAGTCATAGGGCAGCTGGCAATTCTGTCTGGCTATTCCGTGAAAAATCTGTCCTCGTTGAGCTCCAACGTCCACGGATCCCATCAGTTTCTTTCCCCTGCAGCAGATTTTTCCGCCAATCGGTTACATTTGACTGGTAGTGATTGGAAGGAAACTAGTAAAATATTTCCTCACGGATTCCGACGATACTCGACGAAGACTTCCAGTTTCTCTGCATCAATGCCTAGAAGCAACAAAAACTTATTTAGAAATTTCATAGCGGCTTTCACAACTGCAAGGAGAAGGAGCATGCTTGGACACATATACCCACCTGTCCTAGTATCAAAGTGGACACTGACTACGAGATAAGAGATGCCGGTATGCCCACCGGCCAAGTAACCGACATCGTCTTGATAAAATCCCCAGGCCCCATCCATTCCATCTACAGGCAGCATTGCGCGTATGGGACTTGCACAAGGCATTGTTTTCTTGCAGTCCCTAAATGAAGACAATTAAAAGCCTCCTCGATGAAATGGCTGAAGAAGCCGTAAGCTTATAAGTTCAGTACCTCTACCAGCCATCACCTTCTTTAATTTTGTATGGTCGAATTTCATAAGTTGCTCATATTTGTGCTTTTCAACTAGCCATTGCAATCAAATATACGGGAAGAACGATTAAATAAATTAAATAACTGCTTCGAAGGTACTTTGCAACACTTTTTCAACGATGGCCTGAAGGCCTGCTTCTTGAAGCAGAAGCGTAAAGAGGCATTCACAACGCCTTCAGCGTGCTCAAGCGAGTGCACCAAGAAGGAACTGATAAAATGATATTGCCAACTTGCTCGAAGACGATGAACTGAGATGATCCACTCAATGGGGCTTACCACGTGTCGGATTCAAGGGTTCCTGGTATTGAGCATCCAATGACTCTCACGTGATGGAACCGACCAACAGGCGTGTGACGAGGGTAAGAGGCGTAAGCTGCAACGAAGAAAGGGGATCAGCAACGAATCACAATCAGAAGATTTCCGGATTATTGGAGATGCAGCGGACATTCGCGATTTGCTACGAAAGACCAACAGGCGTGTGACGAGGGTAAGAGGCGTAAGCTGCAACGAAGAAAGGGGATCAGCAACGAATCACAATCAGATTTCCGGATTATTGGAGATGCAGCGGACATTCGCGATTTGCTACGAAACGGCAAGATTTCGAGGTAGAATATTCTAGCATCGAATTGACAGCTATCAGAATTCAACCCCGTTGAATCTCGACACCCTCGCTTCCTGTCTTTCTTTCTTTTAATGAAACATTTAATTTAAATGAATTAAATCCCTTCGGTAGATCCAAGTACTGTTGCACCTTGCAGCATCAGCATGATACAAATTTCCTCGGATCTACTACCGACGATATCAGCTTGGCGTCCAGTGCGAGGAAGAGGAATCTGCTGCGCAGTAATGGCATTCATTCCCTTAACCACAAACCGTCTGTTATATATGATATCTTTAGCTTTTATTTTTCCCTGCTTTTTATGATACTTAATCTTGTTTAGACCAGAGGTACATGCAGTGGCCTCCGCAGGATATTCAGAAGGGGGAGCTCAGTATTATGGCGACCGAACGACGAGCCGGGTGGGGGTTGCTAGGCTGGGACAGTCAGAAGGCCAAGGGCGACGAGAATTTGATGCAATAGTTATAGAGGTCGCCTACCCTTTTGCGCTGAGTCTTGTTTCCTGGGTTCGGGGATTCCCAGAGATCAAGGCAGGGGAGGGGGAGGGGATGCAGGGGATTCCAAACCCCCCGACTTGGAGTCCCTTGCGCCCCCCCCCCCCCCTTCCTTGCCTGTCATTGAGTGTGCGATATATACAGAGTGGCTCAAAAAAACCTGCACCCCTGTCTTTCAGAATTTTTTAACTTTTCAAGATTGATCAGCCAAATTTGTTATATGCAAACTTTAATCTATTTCTAGATTTCATTTAAAATTTGGCTACGTTTGGACAAGGGATTATGAAGAAATTAAATTTTTTCAACGGCACTCGGAATTTTTACTGCTCCGAAAACACAACGGGTTGGAGCACAACGCGAACTGTTGTCAATGCGACATGGCAGCTGAAGGTCAATCCTCTTTAATGACCCTGTGGCGTCATATACTCCAAATATCACTTTAAAAAAAAGGAACATTAGAGCAAGGTTGCATTCAAGCGGCGCTAAAAGTGTGAACATCTAGATTAGCTCTCGCATTGTTAGAGACAAGCTCAGGCAGTTTCATCACATTTTATTCGTTTTCCTCAGATTTGCTGTACTGGAATAGCTCTCTTAACTATTACCTTCAAAAATTGCTCTCAGACGTCTATTTCAAAGCAAGACAGAGCAGCCATTTAAGCGCTAAGGAAAGAAAAACGCTCTGGGTAAAGAAAATAGTGGAAGAGTTCCCTGTTGAAAACTGGAGCATCTCCAGTATCAATTTGCTTTGCAAAAGATTGATCAAGCAGGCAGCAGTTGTCACAAGCTCCCAGCGATCTGTAAATCGCACAATTGATCATTGGAGGTACAGATCGGAAAGTATCGTTGAAAATAGAGGAGACGTCTTTGAATAATTGTGACGATAGAGCTTTGCTTCTGGGGGGATTCAGTTCTGAGCAGTAAAAATTCAGAGTGCTTTTCGAAAGAATTTAATTCATCCACAATCCTTGGTCCAAACCTAGCCAACTTTTTCATGAAAGCCGGAAATAGGTGGATGTTTGGCTTCAAGAAATTTGGCTGTTCAATCTTGAATAATAAAAAATGCAAAGACATTTTGAAAGACCAGGTTTTTTTATAGGTTTTTTCTTTTTTTAGCTATCCTGTATATTACTATTAATCTAGGTAATTTTTGGAGGAAAAATAATGCTCAGCTTGAGCTCAGGGTCGGGGGGAATGAAGCCATTTGTCATCAGGCGGAGACGATGACACCCCACCCACCTGATTGACAAATTGTCCCTTTGTTTATCAGTTAATCCTCCGTTAATCCGGCAGATTATAGAGAACATGCTGTAAGCGATGTAGGACTTACTGATATATATGGGTCCATCCGATGGGAGTTTAACAGCTTTGC